GATATTGAACCTTGTCGTAATGCACAATAAATGGCGCCCCCGTGGGGCAAAGAGGTATTGTTTATAAGTGAGCACCATGAGCAAATGGGATATCGAGAAATCTTCTAGTAACAACGACTTCGGGTTGTGGAAAATTAAGATGCAAGCAATTTTAATTCAAGAGAAGTGTATGATGCTTTGAAGAATGAAACTTTGATGCCTGCAAGGTTTACACAGGTACAGAAGACCGGGGTGGTGGATAAGGCCAAGAGTGTCATTATCTTGCGCATTGGGTATAAAGTTCTAAGAGAAGTCGCCAGGGAGCAAAATACAGTAAAAGGGTAATTAGAAATAAGTGGATACAAGTGACAAGATCAAGATTCAAGGGTTGCTTGAATTTGATACAAGTTATCGATTAAAGTTTATGGTCGAGAGCAGCAATGTTGTTGATGGTTAAATTGGCATCAACACGGTTTCAAATCAAGGTAGAGATTGTTGTAGTGTGTCTTACAACTTTTGTCGATGAAGAGAAAGAAAATATGTTTCGAGATTGCCAAAAATCAAAAAATCGAAAAGCAACAAGAATGTCCAGTTTAGATGGTTCGCGGATTTCAGATTTGACAGGTTCAGTTTGCGGATCCGTTATTTAATGTTAGAATATTTTATATATATTAATTTAGAAATAGTCTAAATTTATATAAAATATATTATAAAATACTTATAATATATTTTATTCTAATAATTAATGAGTTGTGTTTTTTGGGCTTGAGTTTTTTTGCTATTATAAATATGTATCTCTTTGTTGTGTCTAAAGAGGACAAAGAGGATAATCTTAAATTTTACAACAACAAGGGAGAACAAGGATTTAAGGATAGTGAAGGAAAATCACAAAGGTTTAGTGACCTTTGGAGTTGTTTAAAGTCATTTTGAAACACCAATTACACCTTGGGCACATTCAGAGTTGTTATTGGGAACCTGAAGGCAAAAACTATTTTCTTGTAACTCATATGTAATGTCTTGTAACAACTTTCTGAGTATAGTAAATTGGAGAACTGTTCTCTCCATTATAGTAAATCATTTGATCGAATTGGATAAACAAATCTTTGTCTTTTTCTCCTTATTCTGTTATATTATATGTGTATTAATTATAATTGTTGTAGGCCATTTATTTTATTTATTACTTTTCTTTATCTCACAAATTGATATTGAACTTTGTCGCAATTCATAACAAGACTAAAATACTAAAATTCAAAAGAACAACTTTTAAAAGGTGAATTTTTGCCACTAAACTTTTAAGAAAAAAACAATATTTTAAAATTACAATATTAAGATTTTTTCACTTGCACATTACATCTAAATGTTAACATCTATCATATAAGAAAAGTATATGTTCCGCCTTTTACTAAAATGCCCTGCTTGCTCTACAATTTGTCACGTGTATGCCTTAATCAACAACCTCTGATTTAATGCTTTGACAACATAAGAAACTTCATTTTTGGTTTTCCCTTGCATGCTGAGATGGTAGCTCTTCCAGTTGCTTTTTATTTTGATTTTTCTTCTCTCTGCTTCACAAATCTATTTTTCCTCTTAATTATGTGTTTTGTATTCTAAAGTTGCAGTTATCACTTTCACAACAACGCTCCAATTTTTTTTATACCAGACTACACATATATGATCGTTTGGGTTTCGTTGACGACAGTGAGAGTTTGTTTTATTTTTATTTATAATGTAAAAATTAAATCTTCAAGCCTTTTGTTCCATTTCATTAATATTTTTTACAAATATTTGCAGATCTAGATTAATAGACATTTTTTGACGTCTTTTTCTTTAACAACCTCGACTGATCTATTTCTAAAACTATGTTGCTTTTGTTTTGATTTTCCTTCTCTTAGTTTTTATTTCCTTTCAGGATCTTACAATTATATTTCATTCTCTTTGTTTTTATTTCCTTTCAGGATATTACAATTATATTGGTGAAGTTGTTGATGAAAGAATTGGAAAATAATGTTATTGGGAAATAATCGTTTATAGTGTGCATCAGACAAAATATTATCTATTAAAGATATTTAGTAACAAATTTGAGGTTGTTTGTTTGTCCCCAAATAGCTTACATTTTAGACATTTATTTATCCACTAAAGTTGATATTCTTGAAATTAATTCCATTAATTCAGATTGGGTCTTACAATTATAATTTTTACTCCCTCCGTTCCTTTTTAAGTGTCGTTTTAGAAGAATTTTTTTGTTTTTTATTTAAATGTCGTTTTTATAGTTTAATGTTATCATTTGTCAATTATATCCCTACTTTCTCAATAACTCCACTTCACATTTCCTATAAAATTAATTATTTTCTCAATTAGTTATTGGAAAAAGAGAGATCGTGTATGATTGAATTTATTTAGAAAGAGAAAATAAATGAGGGTATAATAGGAAAAATAACTCTAATAATCCACTATCTTGGTTGAAGAGCTTTATGCTAAAATGACACTTAAAAAGAAACAGAGGGAGTAATATATAATAATGAAGATCTCATTTTTCATTTATATTTTTAATAGCTTTATAATGTAATTAATGAATTATTAAATGACCATTTATAATAATTAACACATTTATTTAACACCACATTTATTCTAGAATAAATAATATATTTTTCAGTTTTAATGCAATATTAGTTTTATTTTTATTTTTTTAATTATTGTTTGATTTTTTAATTTAATATTAATATTTGATATTTATGATAATTATAAATATATTCATCTTTATCAAGAATAAAAGACAATTGGATTTTATTAAAAAGAATATTTATATTAATTTATGTGAATAAATAAAATAATTTAAGAAATTTAAAATATTTATTGATATATATATATATATATATATATATATATATATATATATATATATATATATATATATATATATATATATATATATATATATATATATATATATATATATATATATATATATATATGCATTAAAAATTAAATATTACAAAAGATAATGTTTCATATTATAAAAATTAGTTAGATTATAAAGTATAATATTGCGATTTGAAATTATATATAAGTAATATCTGAATTAAATAATATTAAAATTGTATAATAATATAAAATATTATTAATTATTTTATGATCATAAAAATAAAATTAATATATAATTTTTGATTTAAACATGGAAATTATATTTATTTAAAAAGAAATAAGAAAAATAAAATTATTGATCAAAAAATTAAATGAAACGAAAAAATAAAGTTATTGATCTAAAAATTAAATAATAACGGAACAATTTCATTATTGATTCAATTATTTTGGTAAATAATGTCAAATCAAAAATAATATTTTTTAATTTATTTTCTAATTTATTCATTATTATAAAGAGTATCTTTATAAAACAACTCTTTTTTATTTTCATTCAATATTAGCTATCTTTTTGAATATGTGTAAAATTAATAAATAAATTTATAATTTAACACAAATTAAATATTCATCTTTATCTTTAAAACTATTAAATAGTCAATTTAATTTCTTATAAAAAAGATATTGTTAATTTTATTCTTAAATGGTTATTAATAAAATCTATATAAATAATAATAAAAATCACTAAAGATATACATTGATGTTATAATTAACATTGCTTTAAATTTAAATCTACTTTAATATATTTTGTATATAAATTTCTTTATTATTTATATTATAACAATTAAATATATTAATTTATAAAAATATATAATTTCACATTTATGATATTTTCATTTATAAAATTACTGTATTATATTATTTTTATATCATATTTTCATAGTTATCCTACTTTTGTGTTTTCAATTAATATCATATTTTTTTGGAGCAAATAAGAATAAATTTTATTTCAAAAAAATTCATATTTTCACACACACATATGATATTATTTTTGAAATAAAATTTATTCTTATTTGCTCAAAAAAAAATAATATTAATTGAAAAGACAAAAATAGGATAACTATGAAAAAATGATATAAAAATAATATTATATAGTAATTTTATAAATGAAAATATCATAAATGTAAAATTATATATTTCTATAAATCAATTTAATTTTTATAATATAAATAACAAAGAAATTTATATACAAAATATATTAAAGTAGATTTAAATTTAAAGCAATGTTAATTATAACATCAATGTATATCTTTAATGATTTTTATTATTATTTATATAGATTTTATTAATAACCATTTAAGAATAAAATTAACAATATCTTTTTTTATAAGCAATTAAATTGACTATTTAATAGTTTTAAAGATAAAGATGAATATTTAATTTGTGTTAAATTATAAATTTATTTATTAATTTTACACATATTCAAAAAGATAGCTAATATTGAATGAAAAAAAAAATTGTTCTATAAAGATACTCTTTATAATAATAAACAAATTAGAAAATAAATTAAAAAATATTATTTTTTGTTTGATATTATTTATCAAAATAATTGAATCAACAGTGAACTTGTTCCGTTATTATTTAATTTAGATCAATAACTTTATTTTTTCATTTCATTTAATTTTTTGATCAATAATTTTGTTTTTCTCATTTCTTTTTAAATAAATATAATTTTCATATTTGAATCAAATAAATATAATTTCCATGTTTGAATCAAAAATTATATAATAGTTTTATTTTTTAAATCATAAAATAATTAATAATATTTTATATTATCTCACAATTTTAATACTATTTAATTCAGATATTACTTATATATTAATTTCAAATCGCAGTACTATACTTTATAATCTAACTAATTTTTATTATATAAAACATTATCTTTTGTAATATTTAATTTTTAATGCATATATATATATATATATATATATATATATATATATATATATATATATATATATATATATATATATATATATATATATATATATATATATATATATATATATATATATATATATATATATATATATATATATATATATATATATATATATATATATATAAAGAAGTTAACACAAGAAATAATCATTTTATACAAAGACATGATTTTCATGATTAGACTAATCTTGCTAGCCCTTTTACTCGTCTATGGAGCCAAGTGCTTCGCTAGAAACACGCCCAAAGGTGATTTTTTATTTGATTTGAATTGTGAACTCAAATCTATATATTTAACAATAATGTGTTTTATTTTGTATTATTTGAGTTTTGATTCAGCAATTTCCATAGAAAATATTCTTTTCTTAGTCAATCTAACATCCTCAATTCTAAGCTAGACACACACCTTCAAAAATTCTACTAAATTTTTGAGAAATCAGATAACCACTACCCATTTAATTCTTTAACCACTCCACTCTAAAAATAATCTTGTATTTGCATTTTCTCTAGCTTTATAATTATTCTTCTATGGAATTTCGACTCGATCAGTCTTGAATTTGTGTTTTCTCTAGCTTTATTTCATTTATTAATATATATTACAATATTATTTAAAGTTACATTAGAATCTATGATATCTGATATAACAGTAAAATTCATTCTGATTTAATTGATTTTTTTCTTCTGAATTACATATAATAATATTTGAGTTTTGATTCATTATTCGTCCCATGACAATATCCATTACTCATAAGAATATTTTATTATGCCATTCAAAATATGACCCTGTAACCCTCTTAATTAAACTCAAAGTTCTAGAATATCCTCCGGCTCACATTATCATTATTTCTTGTCTCGCTGCATTCAATTGTATATTCTCTAAAGTGTAGTTTCAAATGTTTTGATTACAGATAATGAAGTAGATACATACACATAATTAATTTTAAAGTTGGTATTGATTTGTGCAGATGTCCAAAATATTGAGTTCGAAATAGACGATTATGATAAATCAGGATCAAATCCAAAACATAATCCACATGATTCTCCATCTCGTCTACCTCTCGGTAAATCATCTTATTATATATATCAATATTTTACACAATGATTATTTTATTTGAATTTGAATCAAGCCTATGACACTACAGTGCAACCTTAAATATTATGGATAACACATATTTATCTAATATCATGTTCAAGTATCTTGTATTTTCATATACAACTTCAAATGTTTTATTTGGAGTTGGGTAAAACATAAAAAAGATAACAAATTTTTTAACTAGTTAAATATATTGATTTTTAAATCACAGAATCAAAATAACTCTTAAAGTAATAGACACCTACATGATCCTAAAAAACCCTCATTCTATGTAAGTGTTACTTGAGAATTTATGTTATCTCATATGTCAATATTTATTTTTATATAACTTTTATTTGATTTAACGTCAATCATTCTTCAATTTATATTTTGCCTACATTTTTTATATTTTTAATATCAATCACAATATTGCTTTTAATTTCATTAGAGCATGTTATGTCGCATATGCTAGTAATTTACAATCTTAGATGCTTGCACCATCAAAAGTAATTTTACAAGGTTTAATTTTGAAATTTATTATTAATTTTATTTCTATTAATCTATTTAATACTAATTATTTTATATTTTAATAATTAAATTTTGAGTTGGTATTTGTCCATAGACGCTGCCATTATATTTCTTAGTTAATTAAACATTACTTATTCTAGGTTAGATGTAAACCTCTAAAAATTCTAACAGATTTTTGAGATATTACGTAACATTTAAAATTTGATTATTTAATCCGTCCACTCAATAAATGATGACCATATACCTATCTTTAAATCCTAAACTCATAAATTATCCTTAAATTTACTTAAATATTATTTTTTACTTTACTTTATTGTAATGTATGTTGTTTAAAAAAAATCAGTTTTTTTTTTGTTGTTTATGGATAGTGGATTAGACACACAGAACTAAAATATATTATATGACTTTTAATATTTGTATTAATGTTAAATAGATATCCAAAATACTCAACTACAAATAGACGATTACGATAAATCAGGATCAAATCCTAAACATAATCTACGTCGTCCTTTTCATCCACCTCATGGTAAATTACTTTATAATATATATCAATATTTTATTTTATTATTCTTATATTTGAACTCGAATAAATTTTATGATAATGTAATGCAATCTTATTTGCAAGAGTTTCAATAATATTATAAAAACTATTGTGTACATACATATTTTTCTAAAACAATGTTCAATTATGTTCTATGTGCTTCAAAACACAATTTCAAATATTTTTTTTAGTGTTGAGTCAAAGACAAAAAGATAACAAAATTATCAAAAGTTAAATGTATTCATTTTTTTAAAGCAAAGAATCAAAATAACTCTGATTGAGTAAAAGCTTAAGGGAATCTAAAATCCAAACTGATACATGATCCCCACAACCTTTTTTCTCTCCTCCATTTCCAATTGAAAGACTATATCATATATATGTCAATATTTAGTTTCATAATTCTTCTATGTGGTTTCAAGTCAATTATTCTTTAATTTGCATTTTATCTATTTTTATTTTATTTATTAATATTTGTTCAAATATTGTTTGAATTTGCAGTAGAATCTCTGATATTGCATATAGTAGTAAAATCCAATCTAACTTGGTTGATTTTTTTCTCTTATATTACATATAATAATATAATAATATTTGAGTTTTGATTCGGTATTTGTCCAAAGACAACATTTTCTTAGTTAATCCAACATCATCAATTCTAAGTTAATCCAACATCATCAATTCTAAGTTAGATGCAAACCTTTAAAGTTTCTTTTAATTGTTTAAGAAATCAAATAGCAACTGTTCATATGAATATTTTATCACGCTAAAATGTTTTAATTTTTAAAATTGATATTCAAAATACTGAGTTCGAAATAGACGATTATGGTAAACCAGGACCAAATCCTAAACATGATCCACATCTTTCTCCTTCTCGTCCACCTCTCGGTAAGTTACTGTATAATATATATTAGTATTTCACATTAACTATTATATTTGAATTTGAATAAATTCTATGATAGTACACTGCAATCTTACATGCGATTACAATCGAGTTTCAATAATATTAAAAACTATTATGGATAACACACATTTATTTAATACCATGTTCAGTTATCTTGTATCAGTATATACATTTTCAAGATAAAAAGAGAACAAAATTTTAAACTAGTTAAATATATTAATTTTTAAATCACGGAATTAAAATAACTCATACAAAATATACAATTATGTAATCCAAAACCTAAATGATCTTAAAAGCCCTCATTCTCCTTCACTTTTACATGAGAAACTATGATATCCCATATCTTATATTTGAATTCAGGTCAATCATTCTTCAAAAAAAATAATTTGCCTAGATGTTTTACATGGTTTAATATCAATCGCAATATTGCTTTTAATTGCACGTTATGTCGCATATGCTAGTAAAATACAATCATAGTTGCTTGCACCATCAAAAGGTTATTTTACAAGGTTTAATTTTTATTTGATTTGTATTTTATTTTTAGTAATCTATTTAATAATAATGTATTTTATATTTTAATAATTGAGTTTTGATTTGGTGTTTGTCTATAGACTCTTCCATTATATTTCTTAGTTAATTAAACATTATTTATTCTAGGGTTATACAAACCTTAGAAAATAAAAATTGTAATGAATATTTGAGATATTACATAACATTTAAAATTTGATTATCTAGTCAGTCCACTCAACAAATGATGACCATGTTATTCATCTTTTAAAGCCTCTAAATAATAATTATATTCTAATGTATGTTGTTTAAAAAACAATTTTAAATTTTTTCATTTATGGATAGTCGATTAGACATATTCGAAATACCCCGCTCAAAATAGACTATTATAATAGACCCGGGTTAAATCTCAATCATGATCCTCATCATTCTTCTCTTTCTCATCCATTTCATGATAAATTACTTTATAATATATCAATATTTTATTTATTTATTCTTATATTTGAAGTCGAATAAATTTTATGAAAGTATAATGCAATCTTATTTATAATTGCAATAGAATTTCAATAATATAAATTCGGTTATGAAAAATTGATTAATTATTAATATGATTTTAATCAAATTCATATTTTAGATATTTTATTAATATGGTTTTAACCAATCCATATTTTGGATATCCATATCCAAAATAAAAACTAAATTAACATATTTTCTAAAAATCAATTTGTTTTCGAAAATATGAAAAAATAGAGTTTTTTCGAAAATATGAAAAATTGAATTTTGCCGAAAATACAAAAACAGGGTTTTTTTTTTCCGAATACACAAAAAAAATCGATTTTTTCTCAAATACAAAAAATTGATTTTTTTTTGAAAATACGAAGAAAAAAATTCGGTTTTGTCGGAAATACGAAAAAACGAGTATTTTTTTTCCGAAAAATATGAAAAATCGAGTTTGGTCGAAAATGCGAAAAACCGAGTTTTTTCAAAAATACGAAAAATTGAGTTTGGTCGGAAATACGAAAAACTCATGTTTTTTCCAAAATAAGAAAAAATTGAGTTTTTTTATAAAAAAAAAACAAAAATTCGATTTTTATCGGAAATACGAAAAATTGAGTTTTTCGAAAATACAAAAATTGAGTTATTTCGAAAATATAAAAAATCGAGTTTTTTTTCGAAAATACAAAAAATCAATTTTTTTCGAAAATACCAAAAAAATAGAGTTTTTTCAAAAATACCAAAAATTCAATTTTTTCGTATTTACAAAAAAATATTTTTTTACGAGAAATACAAATTTAAAACTAATATTAAAAAAGAATTTTAAAATCGATATAATTTTATTTTTATGTTTGAAATCGATATAAATGAAAAATTGGTTATAAATTTAAAAATCGATTATGAAATCTATAACTAATTACAAAATTTAGTTATAGATAAATCGATTTTATAACCGATTATGTAAAAATATAACTATTTATATAAATTGGTTATGATAACTGATTATAAAAAATGATTATAAATTAAATATAGATTGATTATATAAAAAATCCGTCGATGAACATCTCTAATTAAAGATCATACATATTTATCCAAAATCATGTTCAATTATACTGTATGTACTTTTAAAACACAACTTCAAATTTTAATTACTGTTGAGTCAAAGACAAAAATATAACAAAAATATCAAATAGTTAAATGTATTCATTTTTAAAGAAAATAATCTAAATAACTCTGATTGAGTAAAGATTATGGAAATCCAAAACCTAAACTCATAAATTATCCTTAAATTCACTTAAAATTTATTTTTTTACGTTACTTTATTCTAATGTATGTTGTTAAAAAAAATTTAAAATTTTTCGTTTATGGATGATTGATTGGACACACAAATATAAAAATATATTATATAATTTTTAATGTTGATATTAATTTTAAACAGATATTCAAAATGTCAAACTTGAAATAGACGATTACAATAGACCAGGACCGAATCTCAAACATGATCCACATCATTCTTCTATCTGTCATCCACCTCTCGATAAATTCCTTTATAATATATATCAATACTTTATTTCATTATTCTTATATTTAAATTTAAATAAATTTTATGATAGTATAGTGCAATCTTATTTGCTATTGCAATGGAGTTTTAATAATATAAAAACTATTGTGATCATACATATTCATCTAAAATCATGTTCAATTATGTTGTATGTGCTTCAAAACTAAACTTCAATTTTTTTTAGTGTAATGTCAAAGACAATAAGATAACAAAATTTTCAAATAGTTAAATGTATTCATTTTAAAGCAAAGAATCAAAATTACTCTGATTGAATAAAAGCTTTAAAAAATCTAAAACCTAAACTCATATATGATCCCAACAACCTTTTATCTCCTCCATTTCCAATTAAAAGACTATATCGTATATGTCAATATTGAATTTCATAATTCTTCTATGTGATTTCATGTCAATTATCTTTAATTTGCATAAACATAGTATTTATTTTAAGCTGAAATCCAAAATATTGTAATTTTTAAAGTTGGTATTAATTTGAAGCAGATATCCAAAATATTCAGTTTAAAATAGACGATTATGATAAATCGGATTCAAATTTCAAATATGATCTACACCATCCTCTTTCTCATCCACCTTTTGGTAAGTCGATGTATAATACATATTATTCTCTCTATTTTAAAATAATTGTCATATTTAAAAAAATTATTTATTCTAAAATATTTATCACTATTAATACTTATTTGATTACACCAATAATTACTAAGAATAATTTATTAAAAATATTATTTTTTTTCTATTTCATTTATTATAATTTTTTAATCTACGTAAACGTATCAACTATAAAAATTATTTTGGAACGGAACCAGTAATATTTTACACATTAACTATTTTATTTTGGAACGGAACCAGTAATATTTTACACATTAACTATTTTATTTGAATTTGACTAAAGCCAATGATGGTACAGTGAAATCTTACAATCAATTATTTGATTTCAAGTCAATTATTTTTGTATTTTCCTTTTATCTAATTTTATTATATTTTTTAAATATCAATCATCTGCAAAACAATCAATTACAATACTGCTCGTAATTGCAATATAATATATGATATTGCATATATCATATATGTGTTTGAAAGAAAGTTTTAGTAACATTATTAAATGGTGTTGTTGATCAAGAATGTTTTAAAATAATATTATTAAAGTCATATATTTTTGGATTTAGTTATGATGACTACCACTTTAAAAAATAGTTTCATTAAGTGTATTTTTGGAATTAAATTTGTAAAAATAATAATTACATTTTTACACACATGTCAACCAACTTTGAATGTTTTTCTAATATGTAGATTTTACTTCCTTTTTTTCCAGTGAAATCGAAGATGCAATGAAGGTGCTGCCTCAGAATCTTCAAATATTCCTTGAGTTCAATAACTTTTTCTTTTGATGAATAAATCACATGAGTTTCAATGTACTTTATGGCTCAAGTCAACATTAAAAATATTATTATGTGAAAATATTAGCCTTTTATTTATATGAAACTTTTAATAAATGGAAAATTCAGAGTGTAAGTTGTAACAAGAATAAAATTAAAAAAATAAAATAAATCTTTAATACTTTTTCCTTCGAATTTTAATAAATCTCAAAGGGATTCCAGCATGCTGGGACTTTTAAATGTTTGATTGGTATGCGTGTGAGGTCACAGAGATGGTGTGAATATTCTTAAATTATACGTATTTGATAATTGATATGGGATGGCAATTTCAAGATTTTTGGAAAATTGACTGTTTTCTCATTATGTGTGTTTTATGTTTTTCGGTTTGGTCCATGCATCCATTTTGTTTTGGACTGGGTTTGTTCTTGGTCTAACTTACAGTGAGGTTCAATCCAAGTGTGCCAACCAGCATCATTGATCGGTATTACTCTCGAATACGGCGGGCAACTACCACCCTTTTCCCACGAGGAGACAACCTCATCACGTAGGGACAACGCCCGAATAGATTAAGGACGCTCACCCCCGACCATGAAAAGCTTCAGGACACCTCAACTAGCTCGTCGACCAAGACGGGTCCCCTATCGACCTCACGTCTGGCTGGGATCACCCATGACGAGCAGACGCTCTTCCCGAGCATCCTCCTCGTAGGGCTGACTACTAACGTCTCCGGATATTGTGGAGTCTTCGTGGTCGCGGAAAGATCGCATCCATATCCTCCTGACCTTGCGGAGGACGTCATCCAGGTAGGGGACCACGTGCGGGTCCCCAATACTCATGTAGGATCTAGCAGTCTCTATGTTGGGTCTGCTTGACCAGTCCAATGAAGAGACTTTGGCCCAGCGCTGGGGACTATAAATACCCTCTCTTTCGAGAGGGTCAGGTATTCAACACTTTCAAAACTCTCATACTTGTTTTCTCATTCCCAAACTCATTTTGGCATCGGAGTGCCATGCAGGTACCCCTCCCACTTCACTCTCAACTTCTGCTCGAGCTAGTTGTAACGGTCCATTCTGGTTAGGTACGATCAGTGGCGCCGTCTGTAGGAATCTTGCTTCCCCATCTTCCATTTACTCAAGACTAAAGCTAAATCACTCTTCTGATTGTCATGGCTGATCAAACAGCAGAAAACAACTTGAACATCCGCATCGTTGACGCCAACACCAATGTCACCGACAATCCTGGCATCGACAACGCTGATACTGTTGTCCATAACACAGCCCCCACCGTTAATATGCCCGGGCCTTCAGAATATAGAGACGGAGCAACTGCTTTGTCATCATCATTATTTCACTGACCTGAAGACAACCGGCCACCTCCTCAGAACTATCAGACCGTCCAGTTCCATGAGGTCCCCATTCCGTTAGAGCAGACGCCACAACTAGGGCACTATTCACGGCAATAAATCAGACCAATTACCTGATCTTCTCTCAAGGAGAGAGACTGAGGGCGCTCGAAGATGCTCGGAGAGTCCCTGGAAGACACATGAGGCCCCAATCTTCTCCTCCTCGCCAAGTAGAGGAAAGTCCCTGATCTCCCCGGCAGAGACGTCTCTCGAAGTCCTTCTCCCGGACCAATCGGGCGATGCCCCACATTGGAGAGGAACCAGCCCGTTGACACGAGGACACGCGATCACGTCCCCTTGCATCAGGAATAAAGACCCCCTGGAGACAGCAGGGGAAATAACAAATGGCCATCCCGCCCAAGGAACGCTCCGCACGACCAGGGCCACCACAACCATCATAACAAATCTCCCTCTCTCTCACCAGATAGGAGTAACGAAGACTACCCCCGCGGTCCCTTGTCATAAGCCATCATGGAGGCACCCATCCCTCGGGGCATGGAGAAGCCTCCCCATCTTAAATAGTACGACGGTATTTCCGACTCGGTCGACCACATAGACGGGTTCGAGGCAATGTTGCATTACCATAATGCCAGGGGACCAATCAAATGTTAGTTGTTCCCTACGACTTTGAGGAAAGCTGCGATGGACTGGTACAAGAGTCTCGCCCCGAGGTCATTTACCTCCTGGCGGAATTTAAAGAACCAATTCATCATTTTGTTCACTGCTTTGCGACGGAACCCAAAGACCGAAGCAGTCCTCGAGGCTATCGTCCAGAGACACGACGAGACCCTGAGGGAATTTATTGATCGGTTCAACCGGGAGGCCATCGAGGTCAAAAGTCAATTGTGGCCCACATACAGTCAAACTTCAAAAAATTTGGTCAACATAAACATTTTGAAGTGATATCCATCATTTGATCAAGGGTTGATCATGATTCCTCAAGGAATGCCCTTAATTCATCAAAATTTAAAAGTTGCTAAATTAGGGTTCTATAAGAAAAGTCAACCAAACTTTGACCAGGCATAACTTCCTCATACTTTATCAGAAATTTCTCATCCAAGGCTCATTTTTAAGAGAATCCAATTCCATACAATTTATATTCATCCATAAAGTTCAAGAAATGCACTCATGAAAAGATATAAATCTACACATTATAGGTCCTTTTCAAAAAGTCAACAAAAACACCTTTTGGGTCAAAGCTCCTTACATGAACATGGAAGATCCAATTGAGATGAAACCAAAAGGGTTGTTTAGAGAACATCCTAAGTTTCTAAAAAGTCCAAGAACACCTTATTAGGGTAAAAAATGAGAGAGATATGCATTGCTAAAGTTGACCAAATTTTGGAAATGTGCATAAAGTCAACATTGATCAAAATTGATTTTTTTCCAAAGGGGCCCATGTTTTCTTGTTTGAAACTTGTTCCTAAGAGGACCCATGACCCCTGATCTTATTCACTTATTATTTTATTATTTTTATTATTTGTTTTGATTTTTTATTTATTTAAATCAAAATAAATCAATTTAAATAATGGAATAATAAAATAAAATCAAAGGTTCGATTTTATGAGCATATTATAGGTCTATAATCAGCTGGCATATCAAGATTTTCGTGCAAGAAATGATTGGGATGAATAGGGCATGTTTTGGCCAAATTTAGAAACTTAAAGTATCAATTGCAAATCAAATCTTCTTCCTCCAAAATCTTCAAAATTGCATCCAATTTTATTGACCTAATGCACTCTAGTATATATTCATAACCTTGCTTGATCAAAAGAGAGGGTTTTTGCCGCATAGAACAGACTGCAAGTTTTAATTTTTCACAAAAAAGTGGCAATCGATTTGATATTTGTAGAAGGATTCAAGGAGTTTTGACGTTTGCAATCCATTCCTGGGGAGTTCAGAAGCTAACAACATTATTCTCAAGCATCACAACATCTAGAATCGCCATCTATATCATCACGGTTTTCCCTTCATATTTTGAATTCGATTTTGATCATACACACATTAGAAATAGGTTTTGATTATGCATTATTGTTTGTATGAGCATTTGGAATGTATTTGAATACCTAATTTCCAGTTTTGATACATATATGTCAAACTGCCATTGTTAGGGTTTTAACCTTTGTTTTAGGGTTTCAAGATGCAGGGAAAATTAGACCTAACGATGTATACCATCATGCTCAGGGGATCAAATCCAGTTGATTCATGGCTTTAAATTGTATTTATATTGCTTGTTGTGAATTTTGGAGATTTGTAGGTCTTTTAGCGACGGGTTTTGTCCGTAGGTAGAAGTTCTGCCTAAAACGACAGCCATTGGGGAAGACGATTGCATGGCAAGAGCTAGTTGGCTAGTTTAAATAGCGCGTGCATTTTGTTATAATTACTGCCAATTATTAAATATATTATATTTTGTTCATTGTTATTAACAAAAGGCCAATTGACCCAGTGGCAAGCAGGAAAGGTTTCAGGGCGCGCACATGTACGAGGTCAGGGGTTCGATCCATGCCTCCTACATAATATTTTTCTTAACGCTTAACTGCAGATTCAGTAGTACCAGGTCAAGCGCGCTCACCATGCACCTCAACATCTCATCATTGGATCAACATGTATCCAGATCCCACGCCTCAAGCATGCTGGCGCATGGTGGACTCTCTTGGCAAGCTTCCCACTGGACCAGACGCATGCAGATGGGCCAACAGGATTGGGCCTGGAAAATTCAATTCTGCACCCCCAAATTACTTTTCATCAGGCCCATTTTATTTTTCATTTTAATTTCTTTAACCTTTTTTTATTATTGTTTCTATTTATTTTTAATTGTTTTAAATATATTTTTTAATTAAATCTTAAAATCACAAAGAAATTAGAATTAGGTTCTTTTTTATATAAAATATTTAATTTCATTAATTAATTAAGTTAATTAGGATAACTTAAATTCTTTTTTTCATAATTAAAATCAATTAGAAATTAGGTTAATTTGTAAAATTAATTACTTTCTCAAAAAAATCCAAAAAAATATTTTCTCTTTATTCACTAATTAAATGTTTTTGAATTTAATTTTAATTCCTCGTTTAATTTATTCTCCCGCGCATTTATTTGTTTACTTTTCCAATTAATGTAATTGCTTCGAGTTTGTAATAGTTAATTAGGTTTATTACTATTTGCATTTACTGTTTTCCCCGAGTTTTGATTATGTGATCCCCTCCCCAAAGCCTTGTAATAGCTAGGTTTAAATTTCTCGCACTTTATTTTATGTTATTAATTAAACTATTAGATGATTGATAATAGGATTGTATGCAAAAGATCATAATTTAAAACAGTAGAAAACCCTAAATATGCCAAGATAATAACTGAAAAATAAACACTTGCACATGCTCACTCCTAGAGTTTTCCCCACTTTGGTTGCCTTCGGTAAACGGTCATGAAGTATAGGGAGTTTTAGTGGTTGCCCTCTAGTCCCAAAAGATAAAAAATGACCCATTTGAATGTTGCCTCGGAAAGATCTTTAGGACTTTAGGGTAACTACTAAGATTTCCTAATCATTTCTTTAGTGATCG